AGCGACAGCTGCAATTGAAATTTCGAATTGTCGCGTGTAGCATCACAATAAATAGATAAATTGTATCAGTTTCACAAAGCACGTTTCTGATGTGTTAGGCTTGTTTCAAACGTCACGCTACTCGTGTGTCGAGCGCATTAAAAGCAATTGTGGGCCGTTTAAATAGTAAAAATTTTCAACATCTTACCCAAATAAATAATGCACATATGCTTGTCAAAGTTTTCAACAATCTATGGCGAACTTTAACAACGAAAGTTACCATTCTCTGATTGGTTTTCTCACGCCGGAGTCTAGTATCTTGGACTTCTTAAGTTACAAGTCGTTCCCCGGTTTACGGGTACGGATACGTGTATATCACCCGTAACCGTAAACCGGAACCGGGGTATCTTAACCTCTCTAATATATAATGAGATGAAATGCGGTTGGTGATTGTTTATTGCGTAGTGTAAGACATCAGCTTTTCTAGGTTGTCAGCGACCCTATATATTTCTTGCAGAATCTTTTTCAATTTGAAACTTCACACTATCCTTGGATCCCTAGTTTATAGATGTTGTCAGCAATGGATGATTGGCAACTAGAAATCGCCGTAGGCCGTAGCGGCAAATGTGCCGGTAGTGAAATCTGTCAGCTGCGCTTGGGAAATTGACACGATATACTTTTATAAAACTCACTTCAACTGTGAGATATTGAATAACTCATTAAAGACGAAGTGGCGGCCAAAAATTGCCGCCGCTAACGTTCCTCACAGAGGCACTGCCGGCGGCAATTTCCGATTGCCGCCACTAATTCTGATGGCTGTGTACTTAAATTATTGAAGTCACAGACAGAAAACTTGACAAAAATGCTTAATTTAATCGGGAATAAAATTATTGTATACGAGTAAAATTAAATTTAACGGACTTCATGGTTTCGTCGAGTGGTATCTTTGACTGAATTGTGATATATATGAATATCTACAGTCGAACCCCTATAAGCGGACACCTCTCTTAAGGCCCACACAGACCGGGCGCGATTCGGCAACTGACGCGAATTTCGAGTTTTCAAAAACAAATAAAACCGTCAACGGATAAAAATTTTACAAGATATGCAGACCAAATAGCTAAAATTTTCAAGTGGTTCCAAATATTTGAAAAACATTGAAAAATATTAAAGTTAAATGTCATTGATAACTGAAAATTCGCGTCGCGTTGCCAAATCGCGTACGGTCTGTATGGGCTTTTAAGCGGACACCTCTTTTAAGCGGACACCTCTTTTAAGCGGACACCTCTTTTAAGCGGACACCTCTTTTAAGCACATACCTCTTTTAAGCGGACACCTCTTTTAAGCGGACACCTCTTTTAAGGGGACACCTCTTAAGCGGACACCTCTTTTAAGCACATACCTCTTTTAAGCGGACACCTCTTTTAAGGGGACACCTCTTTTAAGCGGACACATATCTCAGGTCCCATTCGTTTTCTTTAATAAAATACTATTATCATAACTCCTATTAAGCGGACACTCCTCTTTAACGGACGCGGACACCTTACTTGAGGTCCCAATTGGCAAACCAACCTCTCTTAAGCGGACAGATGGCAGATTGTCTGATAAAATGTATTCAATATTCGACAGTAAATAACAATTGAGATCAATTTACATGGCACATTGACAGTGGCACACCAACAACTTGGCGCGAAGACATCATAGCCAAGATTATTGAGGAAGTGACGAACGAGGACGGAGGGCTGTGAGCCGCCAGCCATGGAGCCGAAAGATATGTGTCAGATCACTGATGATGACAACGAGCTGAACGAAGATGATGAATTCGACTGCTTTCTTAACGAACCAGTCATTAAATCTTCCTCCGAAGCCCTTATAGTTTTCGAGCGGCTGGCAGAATTCGCACAATTTCGAGGTTTGGAAGAACTTTCCAACGTCATTTTTATGTAAATGACAATTTAATGGCTATCGTCTGCGTGAGCCTCGGAAGCAAACTTGTATCGATTCCTTTTGTATATGAGATCCCTTTTTTATATGACTGTGAGAGACGTATACATTTTCTAATAAACTTTTATGCACAAAGAAATTTTCATTTTATGCTAATTATTTGCTAGATATTTTTTACTGTTTTGATACTCAAATTACACACCTAATTACACACCTTTGCACCTTGCTCGATTTCCTTTGTTCTTATCTGGGAAATATTCAATATTCCCCTCTAATCAATTTCCGTTTAATAATCCCCTCTAATATTCACTTGTAATGTCTTTACAGCACAAAAAAATGAGAAAAAAACCAACATAACGAAGGCAATATGGCATTAAGAGTTATTTCTATTCTGACTCATTAACACGACCTCGCAATGTGAAAAATAAGTACGTTATTTTGAGGCACCTCGGGGATATGTGTTTATTCACATATCCCCTCGTTGCCTCAAAATAACCTATACTCATCCACTTGAACTCACTGATAATTAAGTTTAAAAAAGCCTGCAGCAGTTTAAAAATTGCAATTATTTTTGGTCACACTCTATTTTACAAATATTCCTACTTATGATTATCTTATGCTGTTTCACTAATCAAGCAACACATATCAATCTGCTGTGAAATTTGTTAACTTTTCTATATTTTCCTCAGATGACTTTAAATGATTTGCCCGACAATTACAGCCCATTACACTAGGAAACATTTGGCCGAGACCGCCGAGTATCATACTATTTTTGAACATTGGGGGTGTCAAACAATTGTTTTTTTGAAGCAATGTGCGACTTGTACTTGATTTCACAAAAGCTTTCTGAACAACATTTTATTCCATAAAAATCTGAACTTTCAAAACCACAGGAAAACCATGGAAATTCGGGCAAATGCTAAGAAAAATAAAGAAAACTCGGGCAGATTTATCAGAAAATATATTTTAATAAAATTAAATTAGGTTATTTCATTACATACCTCCACAAATGTAGCTAAACTTTCAATTGCCCCTTCCCCCCACCTGAAAGCATCAGCCCCATACACCTATGTTTGAAATAAGTCGACATATGGTATGGCTTAATGTGGTATTGTTTAATGTGGTATGGCTTTCTACTGACGTATAAAATACACACTGGAATACAGCTTAACTTTTTTCTTTTATAGAATCTTCTTGCTCTGAATCCAAAAATTCAACCACATGCCTCCACAGTGCCTTCTGCAGTGACAAAGAGGGTTAAGAAGCACTGGAAAAGAAATAATGATAAATCATGCTCTGTAAGTTTAAAACATGGCGTTTTGTATGTTGAAAATGCAGACAAATTTTGTTGTACAACCCTCAAATAAACCACACATTCAATCTATAATATATTATATACAAAAGGTAACCAAAATCGCACAAAACTCCAGTGCACTGAGATTTTATTTTCGGATAACTTCACCTGTAAGGGAGTGGTCATTATTTATGGGGAGGGGGGTTGGTAAATGGGGAAAATAAGGATTGAAACAGGTGTGCGTTGCAGGTACAGTTAGATATTAGGACAATCTGTTTAATCTAGCTCATGATATTTTATCCTGGTGAATATGATTCAACCATATATGATTATGTGTTACTACTTTGCAATGCAACATTTGTCCTACCATAACCCTAACCCATGGCCCGTCTTCATACGGCGAAATGATTTGAACACAGGGCTTTTTTTAAGAACTTGTCTGGGAGGGGGACATCTACAAAAAGGAGTGAGTGTGGAGAGATGACAGATGGTTGTTGGTGACAAAAAGTTTGGTGTGGTATCGTATGTACTAGTAGGGGGGTCTGGGGGTATTCTCCCCCAGAAAGATTTTTGGATATACAACGTTACATTGTGCTTTGATAGACTGAATCTGATCAGTTAAGTACTTGCATGGTATGTTTATGTAAATACCACAATTGGGTCACTCAAGGGGTAGCTACCATGGTTGGCGCTGAGCAGGGAAATTTTGAAAATTTTGAGTCTCTAGATCGTTGGAAATTGGCATTTTCAGAGTCCTCTTTACCCCTTTGGCATTATGATTTGTGAGTCTATGCTATTTGTGATTATAGATATCAGAACTCTAGACATGGTATTTAAGTTCAAAAACTTTTTTGAGCCTCCCTTTCTCTAGGTTAAAACTTTTTTGACCCCCCTATTTATAAAGGTAAAACTTCGTTTGCCCCCCTCTCCCATTTACCACCCCCCCCCCACCCCCCTCCCCATAAATAATGACCACTTCCTAAGTCACAACTTCTATGCATTCTGGGGGTCATGGTCCCCTGGAAGAATATTTTTGGGTCTCTGAAACGGCATTTCTTGCATTGTGGAGAAAAATAAAAATGTTTTAATAAGTGGCCTTTTAACAGTGTCAAATATTGATTTCAGATTTATTTAAATACTTGACAATTTAATTCAATGAGAGACATATAGTCACAGAACTTTATATTAGTCGAGCAAAGTTCAGTAAATAGATTTTTAAGATACACAACATTAAAAGTGAAATCAATTCATTTGGTGCATGCATGTACTAAGTACTATATGCTGCCAACACCCAATATAAATCATGCAAATGTTGAAATATTAAATTCAATCTGATTCATTCCGTTCTTTTTTCTCAAGACAGCCATGTGCGACATTCAGCATTTTATTGGATATAGGATGACATTCGAGTCATTTGTGACAGTTATAAGACTGTGTTAATTCGCTTTTATAAACTAGACATGTGGTGATCTCACAAAGAACTTTGATGATGTCAAACATACAACTTTGAGTGAGAGAGGAGCTTTGCGAGAAGCTGCCAGGTAATGAATGTGCGTTGTAAGGTACTGTGGAAAACGTCTGTTTCATGAATTTTACTGCAAGACATGCATAAAAAATTCTCGTTTTTTACAGATGTTTAAAATGTGCAGATGCTCCTTGTCAGAAAAGCTGTCCAACTCAACTCGACATCAAGTCATTTATCACGAGCATCTCCAATAAGGTAATGTTTATCCTGACCCTTGACTTAGGGCTGGGGTGGCCATGGATTTCTAGTGGAAAAGTTTAAAACATAGTAGAAAGCGTAAGACGGTTTGACAAACTGTAAAATCGTCTGGCATTAGACAGAGTAAACTAATAATTAAAAGTAATTAAGGTGCATTAGATCGATTCCGATCAACAGAGTATGGTGCATTAGGGTGCAATGTAGCCTGCAATTTAGCTGTGGATAAAGGGTTTTCTCTATTGTTTTACTTGTATAGTAACGTGCAAATCAAAACTATTTTGGACCAATCCCACATTAACCAAAATTTTGATCCCAACAAGTCTAGACAAAATTTTCATCACAGCTTGAAAGAGCATCACAAAATTCGTAATATTCCAAAGTTTCGTTGCGAAATGTTGTAAAATGCGGATAATATAGCCTTGTGAAGTTTGCAATTTTCACTCATTTTGTATTACGCGCGGGAAATTTTCGAAATTTTATTACGCGCGGGAAGTGGTAACCATTTCCCGTTTGTAATACAAAATGACTGAAAATTACAAACTTCGCAAGGCTATATTATCCGCATTTTCAATTAGGAGCTTCCCTTAGCTGGATGACGTCAAACATCACGCGTATAGGTGCACTATTACCTTTACAATCGATTTCTGGCATTTCCAGAGTCATACGATAGAAACGTCGCATGGTTTTGACATTTTGAAATTGTATTTCCCGTTGGGATTAGCTCACAGTCGGACCAGAAATGGAAATACCGTGATAAAGATGCAAATTTGAAGATATAGGCTCGAAAATGACACTCTTAATAGTGTTTTTGATAGCGATTTGAACAAGACTATTACGTGCAAGAAAATACGTCCGAAGAGGCTGAAGTTATATTCGGGGAAAGGCTAGTCTATATTATTACGATCTCGCTTGACTTTCAAAGGCCATAAATCGCTACAATGTTGGCAATGACAAACTATCGTGAGGAATTAGTTGATATTGTTTCACTGAATCGAATGGTGGTATTATTGTCTTCATAGCATGCATGCACTGAACCGAAGATATAAACTTACAAAGTCGTCAGCTTCTGGAAGTTGACATGCGTGGGACTTTTCGATCGTTAAACCAACCTTGCAATTCCATTCACAAATGTATTTAATCATCCAGAATATTTTCTTTGAAATGTCTTTTTTATGCTTAGCATATAATTTATAACAAAATGCACCATTAAATTAGTGCTTTGAAAGCCTGAAATTTCTTACAAAATGTGCTCTCAGAATACTGCAAATGCCATTTCAGGGATCCAAATTTTAAAAATTTTCTGGGGGAGCATTCCCCATACCTCCTGGAAATCTGGTGCCTTCGGCACTCGTCCCTCCAATATTTCGCAAAGTTCCCGCCACTGATTGCAAATTTCGCATTTCGCAACGAAACTTTGGAATATTACTAATTTTGTGATGCTCTTTCATGCTGTGATGGAATTTTGTCTAGACTTATTGAGATCAAAATTTTGATTAATGTGGGATTGGTCCATTGGCGCTGGAGAGTGATCATGAATCAACAATTTTTCGCTGATGAGGATTGAAGACTACAACGCGATTAGCTATATAGGTTTTTCCATGTAATAACAAATGCATTTTTCACAAGGAGTCATAATGACTTAACAAAGCGCTATGCGTGACATATAGTTTGCGCAATGTCCGCTTAACGTATCTAGTTTTAACCACAGTTCACCCGTTTGACCCAAATCGAAAAAAAGTACGAATCCTCCCGGTCAAACGAGAATGAGAGTTTGTGAGAAATTGGCTGTCACTAATTGTCACAGGGAACATTTCAAGAACTGAAATAAGGTTTACAGTTGATTTCACGAAACTTTGGTCGCTCCAATTGCGAGGTTGGTTGGGAATTTGGGAACTATAAACGCGAGATCATCAAGTTGATTAGAAACCGGCCAATCATATTCGGAAGTTTCGCATCAAATTATCGAAATTCGTGATGAAATTCCGAACCAAGTTCGCAAGCAAGTTCGCAAATTGCAAACGATTTTGGCGGTCAATTATTGTATTAAACTGATTATAATTTTAAAAACTGAAATTATTATTATGATATTATTTATTATTAAATGAATAAGTTTAATACAATAAAGTTTATGATTTTTTCTGTGTTGGTGCTGTGTACTCAGGTATTCATGATGTTTGTGATGTTACTGTGAGTGTATACCCACACCGGCGAGCTTGAAAAATATGCCTGGCCACGGTGGGAATCGAACCTACGACCTTTGGAATACTAGCCCAATGCTCTGCCAACTGAGCTACGCGGTCAGGACGGTTCGAGTAAGTGATATTTCGGAACAGATAAAGTTTAGTTTTTGAAATTTACCGTCAAAATCGTTTGCAATTTGCGAACTTGCTTGCAAACTTGGTTCGGAATTTCATCACGAATTTCGATAATTTGATGCGAACTTCCGAATTTGATTGGCCGGTTTCCAATCAGCTTGATGACCTCGTGTTTATAGTTCCCAAATTCCCAACCAACCTCGCAATTGGAGCGGCGAAAGTTTCGTGAAATCAACTGCATGTAATGATTGTTTCAACTACGTTTTCACTTATATAAAATACATGATATAGTGTTAGGAAAGCATCAAGAACAGCTAATTCCAATATCGCGTGAGTACCGACTCTCATCCTCGTTTGATCCAGGTTTTTAATGCAAATTTCCGGGACTCTTTTCCATTCAGAATTTCTATGGTGCAGCGAAGACGATCTTTAGTGATAATCCGTTAGGTCTAACGTGCGGTATGGTGTGTCCTACAAGCGACCTTTGTGTGGGTGGTTGTAATTTATATGCAAGTGAAGAAGGTCCTATCAATATCGGAGGTCTTCAACAGTTTACAACTGAGGTAAATTTATACTACTATTATAATTGCTTCCTTAAGTATGTATTAGCTGGAACAGCAACCTTAGTATTAAGTTAGCTTCATTGATGTTCAAACTTTGAACTTCAAAAACTTTGAGGCTTTTTTGTGTATTTTCATTTTCTCTTTTTGTTTTAAGTAAGTGAATTGTAGACTCGTTTGTATTTACAAAACGAGCCGCCATTTTTTTTTTTTTTTCAAATCATTAATTGCACTCCTGCATGGTGAGTCAAAGTTCAAGTCAAAAGACAAGTCGGAGCTAGTACAAGTCAAAAGGGTTTTTTGTTCATGATTCTGGTGAGTGCAATTAATGAAAAATTGCACTCTTCTTAACCAATCAGATTGAAGTAATTTTATCCTGTATATAATAAACCCAGATAGTGTTATTTCTAGCTTCACCAGGGAATTTTAACCAGAGTGTTTTGGAGTATGCAGAGAAAAATAGATTCAGAAAAGATCCAGAAAAACCCTGACGGAACGCGAACTTTAACCTGATGCAAACCAGTTTCCGTTATATAATGTATTATAACGTAATGTAATAGAAATTTACACATTAAATAGCTAAGCTAAATTACAATGTGCTACAAATAAGTTTTTACTGTTTTTAAGAATTGATTAAGAATGAAATAAGAACGATTTATTATATTATCTTATACTATAAAAAAAAACATGCAAGATTGGACGTAAAAAAAATACCTGTGGTTCCGGTTCCCGACCGACCCTATTTTTTTCTGCCGATCCTATTATTTTTTCAACGCGATTGACCGTGCGACCCTATTTTCTCCAGGTGGTTGCCGGCTGCTCATACAGCGTGCCAAAATGGCGTCTGTTGTCACACTAATTATTGAACCAAATTGCCTAAATTCGTCCATAGGAAATACGCATCTCTAGTTTAATAATGATGGGGGACTCTACTGCAAATCGCCCAGCAAAAAACCGCCAAAACGATGAAGAAAAAAATATTAAAAAAAAAATTATTTCCGACCTACCGACCCGAATTTTTTCACGATATGAAACGGGAACCACAGGTATTTTTTTTTTACGCCTTGGTAAGATTTTCGAAACTAAGAGTTAGCTAAGCTAAGAGTTATGAAGAGTTAAATTGTACTTATTGCATAAATGATAGGACTCTGACTAAATCGTTTAGTTCTGCACGCATAATTATAATATTCTAAGCCGTTTGTCCTCGTTTCTCTCTCTCTCTTTTGACATTTTCTTAATCATGTCAACACACATAACATCTCTACGTTCCTTTAGGGTTTTCAAATTGGACTGACGTAATGCATGATCGTAGCTCATACCAGGAAGGATTATTCTCAGCGCCCTCTTTTGTAATCTCTCAATGTCATTACTCTGTTCAACTCTGAGATTGCCATTCCAGATTCGAGTTCCTTATTCTAGAACCGACCTTACCTATGTATCCTAACGTTAACATGATAACGTTAACATGTTGTTTATCTGTGCCACCATTTATATGTATTCTCTTATGTAGGTTTTCAAAAAAATGCGCATGCCACAGATCCGTGATCCTAGTTTACCTAAACTCGAAGATTTGCCAGAAAGTTACAGGTCAAAGGTTTGTATCACTCGTTGCTTGTGCAGTGCAAATTTACAATGTAGCTTAAAGTCTAGTTATTTTTCGTTTGTATATGGACCGAGCCATACTCATTATCTCCTGACGCTATGGTGTACCCCACGGAATTTAACATTACGTAATTAGTAATAGACCGGAAATACGTCACATGGCGTGACAGAGCATGCGGTATTGAGATTAGAAAAAATCGTATTGTGTAGAAAAGACAGAGATTAATAGTTGTAACATTCGGTGTTTATACCGTTAAAATATGAGTTTTAAATAATAATAAAGTTACACACTAAAGCACAAAGAGTGAAGGTAACAATGGCTTCCCGGGATCGGGAAACTTTGCTACGCCTTATCTTCGGTTTCATGCACCAACAAATACCACCATTCAATTTGCGTACATAATCTTTACATGTCACCTGTGGCTTTGTTTGTATGGTTATTTATAATGCAATGCAAGCGATTTATAGCCGCTTCAAGCTGAACAAAACTGCAATGTCGATGATTCCTCAATTCAAAATATACAACATACAAAAAAAAAGATTTAAAAAAATGAAAATATATCTGTGCCTTCCATTGTTGATGAATATAACTTCTGATTTTTTCTGTGTTGGTGTTAGAGCCGGTACGGTTCCAAAAATTTGATCTCGGTCCCGGTTCCGGGTTTTTTGGAACAGAAAAACCTCGGTTGGGTTTCGGTTATTCTCAAAAAAGATGAACAGCACAAATGTATATGAACTCATGTATGTTTCGAGCATTTTTATTAAATAGATGAATTTATGCCTTTGTAAGTTTGTAGAAATCTCTGAATATTTTAAAAGAACAGCTGGAATTTATTTATGAACATGAAATATTTATTTTTAAAACAATTTATTAAAGCAAGTGCACAACATAACTATCACAACTAAAATATCAACTATTTGAGCACTTAGTACAGTGCATATTGTGCACAAAGAGCACAGTCTTGTTATTATTTTCCAAACATTTCAACCTGCAATCAGGTGGGCGATTGGCGGGCGTTAAACGGGAAATTAAAACCCGAAACTACCGGTTCTTTGCGTATATATAATTTTTCGGTGCTAAAAAAGTACCGGAAGAACCGAATTTTTCGGTTAACCGCACAGCTCTAGTTGGTGTAATGTACTCAGGTGAATATGATGTTTGTGATATTAGTCTGAGTGTATATATCCACACCAGGCAAGCTTGAAAAATATGCCTGGCCACGGTGGGAATCGAACCTACGACCTTTGGAATACTAGCCCGATGCTCTGCCAACTGAGCTACCCCACCGTGACCAGGCATATTTTTCAAGCTTGCCCGGTGTGGATATACACTCAGAGTAACATCACAAGCATCATATTCACCAACATTACACCAACATAGAAAAAATACGAAAAATTATTATAAAAGAGTGCATTACACCAACATAGAAAAAATCATGATTACTAGATTACATTGATATCGAAGGAATTAACTAGATTCTGTTCCGAAATATCACATACTCGAAACGACCTGACCGCGTAGCTCAGTTGGCAGACGATGATTGGGCTAGTATTCCAAAGGTCGTATAAGGTTCGATTCCCACCGTGGCCAGGCATATTTTTCAAGTTTGCCCGGTGTGGATATACACTCAGAGTAACATCACAAGCAGAATATAACTTCTGTTTTGTAACTCTTTTCTTTATGGCGAAGATAATCTTGGCCAGATAGATTTACCTGCCATGTTTCGACATCACATCTGGCGAATATGAAATAAAAAATACTCAACACGCGTTTAATTAAGCGCTTGTGTTGTGCTGGCATCGGTAGTAATTTTGTATCGAGTATTGTTTGCTCGGTTCCTTTTAACTTAATTTCCGTCTTTCGTCTTCAAATTAACATTGTTGACATGTTGAAATTCTGAAATCCATTCATCTAAACTTTCTGCAGATAGGTCCCGTGTAGTGGTGCGTAACTTGAAATCATGTTTGTCTGACGCGCAGAAGTATCTATCTAATGCCTTCACGTGATGATCTTCTTTCCCTACTTCAGATAACGCCTTTTGAAACTGGCGACAGTCGATATCATTGACAGCCGTATTAAAAACTTGTCAAAGACGAAGTTCCGAACCGTCGAAGTCCCGAACTCTTTTCAATGTCGCATATTTGCAATGAAAAGTGTTCAAAACCGAAAATATTTTTGTCGTTCTTCTCAAAATTACTTTGTTTTAGCTTTATACAGTTGGCAACCTTTTTAAATGTATCTACAGGCGGTTAAAAAATTGAATACAATTTGTCAATTATAAATATAATTGATGCTGATCATGCTGTAAATTTGACGCCATATATTTATACAGCAATATAAGCAAAATTAACTTACTGAACTTCAGACATAATTTTCTCTTTGGCGTACCATCTAAAATCTTTTCATTTTAGCATTATTTTACAGATAAAAAAGAACCCGAGTTCTCTTTTCAGGAGAAATTTCTTACTTCTGAATGTTGTGTCTCTCGCGGCTTAGGGCATTTCCGCAAGGCATTGGATGGTTTGGGAAACTTTCCAGTCCTTGAAAATCAGGTCGGTATTCGGTATTCAAATACGTCTCGGCATTTTTTTCCGCGAACATTTTTAATCCTTGTGTATAAACATTGCAATTTAAATGTGATATTTGAAACTTTGAAAAGTAAACATACGCGTTAATTAAAATCGTCCAGCTTCAAGATTTAAGTGAAAGTATACATATGGTAATAAAGTAGTGTACGGTCTGTCACAACATTTGGTCACAACATGCACTGTTCGATTGGAGTTCATACATTTTGTTAGTTGTTTTGTTTGCTATTGGCATTGATTGCACTTATATAATTGCTGTTTATTAAAAACGCGTATTTGCAGCAAGCAAATTAAATTTTCATTTCATGCATGGATATTGTCTATTTGTTTTGAAAATATTTGCCGACCTAGATTGAGAATTATCGCTACAGACGCTAGTTTACAGTTTAAGGTCGGCATTTTCTTGACGACCTGAAATTTCGGGAGTTTCAAGGACTGGAAAACGATTTTTACTGTGTTTTAACACCCTGCATGCATGGACCGATGTTTAGGCCTATATAAATATACTCACTCTAAAGACTTTATATTCTTGACTACTATGTTTTTAACTCGATATAAGCAAAAAAATTACCAATATAAAACCGTGTTTCGAGACATTTTATATTTTTGTTCAGTTATAAATATGAAATCTGCTTTCGCAAATTTAGAAGGTTGCTGTGATTCGTCAAGTCGAGGGCACGGAATGTGTAGTTTCTTGGTTGAGCAGACGTTCGTTAAGCCTGATTCTCATATGTCGCCGACGTCGGTGATGCCATTGTTTGAGATCAGTGAAGAAAAACATAGACAAACGATTTTACTCATCGATGATCAACGACAATGGGCGTCGGCGACATTAGCAGGCATTAGCGATAAGGATACAGAGTTTGGCAACCGTCAACGGCAGAAAAGAAAATTGCGTACATTTTAGTGTGCGAGCCATATATAGTAGCTATCTTACAATTCAATTATTTCAATGTTTCGTTCTTTCCAAAAGCGTACCGCCTAGCCACGTAGCCAGTAAAATATATTGCTCACTTACAATGTCAATGACGTCTAATTTTCAATTTTTCGTTTTATCAAAAACTAACTGCTTTGTCGGGCAGCCATATATAGCTTGCTGATGTTAATATTAGGGCCATTTATACGAGCGAAAGTAAGTCGCGGCCTAAATAAGCCGCGGGTTAAATAAGTCGTGAACGACTCGTATAAACAGTCAATTTGCAATAAGCCGCGGCTTATTTAAGCCTAGCTTTCAACTCTGGACTTATTTTAGCCGGGGCTTATTGCAAATTGACTGTTTATACGAATCGTTCGCGACTTATTTAAGCCGCGGCTTATTTAGGCCACGGCTTATTTTCGCTCGTATAAATGCATGGCCCTATTGTTCTTGTTCAGCCCGCAACTTTCACTTTCACTTTGAACGCCCCACATCTATCGAAACACAACGCGGAAACTTCAGCGTAGTGGAAATCATTAACAAGTGACTTCAAAAGGGCAACTTGGTTATATAGACTTTGCTAATCAATCGATATTTTCACAATGTTGGACGAAGTTATCGCCTGTTTCTTGTCGTTGTTTTCTGCCTTAACTTTGGATGCGCCGCAACTTTCCCGAGAAATGAACGACAATTCAAGTTCATCAGAACAATGTATACGCTATACGTGGAAGGATAAAATTCACAGAGAGTATGTCTCGTTTGAGGAAGAGAATGTACCATCCGAAACACGGTATGTGCAACTAGGGTATAAACTGCGCAACAATCCTACTTATACCCAGTCATTACTCAGAAGTCTGAAGGCGACATTTACCATAACCTTAGCCGTACTGCCTTTGGTATTTATAGGGATGGCTCTTATATATTTCGATTTAAGAACAACCGATTTATGTTCTGAATGGGAGGCTAAAAAGTACACTGTTTCATTTGATGTTAGGAGAACACGGTTAATCGGCAAAGGAGTTGAGAAAGTGATATTGTATCTCTCGTTTCCCTTGACTTTGATTGTTTTATTTGGTTGGAACGAATTTAAGCTTCATTATTCCTCGACTATCTTAGCAGGCCAACTGGCTGGTTTATTTAATACATTATATATAAGTTTTTTACTCCTATATGGTATTGATGATACCGTTGCGATCAAAAGTCACGACGTTCCAGCACTTCTAACATTTGCTGTTGCTCTTCTCTGGCAATCGGTGATTGTGGTTCGCAAAATTCGACAAAATCATCCGACCGTATCCTACTCAAGTTGCCATATTTTTACGGTTCTTGCAGTGCCGTTATTGAGCACCTATCCAATGGCAATTTTTTACAGATATGCTGTTGTGAAGTGGTTTAATTCCCTGGATAATGTGTGGTATAAATTCATATTGGCTATCTTGACACCGACCTTAGCACTTGTACCGACTGCTATGTGCAGGCATATGGCATTATGGCGTACTTCAGAGATTATCGAACCAGAGCGAAGCTTTGCGTTGGTTTATTTCATACGGGCGGCCTTCATTGCTTTGTATCGTATCATGCAAGCCGATTTTGGGAACGTTTGGTTGTTTGTCGGGCTATCTCTTGTGTCTGGTTTCTCGAGTTTGCTTAAAACAGCGACTGTTGGTATTCGTGAGAAAGTATGGGCACGAGTTATTGGATTTCTGAACAAAACTTGCTGTACAAGACTGAACCATTTGCCTGGAAACACACCACATCATAGGCGACTGAAAGCAGACATCGAGATACAAAATATACTTTTTGAGAACAATTCACTGATTATAAGCCAATCCTACATCGTTTTATATAGGATTACAAATTTTCATCTCTCTGATTGGTCTGTCGCAAAGTCATCTTTAATGAGGATCGCTATTGGATTGGGGATTGATTTCGTGTTCAATTTTTTGTCTACTTTTGTTCGTATACATTGGCATGATATTCCCATAGCGCGAGTGTGGTCGAAGTACTGGAAACGACATATTTTTGCTAACGGGATCATTGTTGCATTTTTAGTATGCTATTTTACTAAACCCTTACTTACAGTATTTCAAAATCGTTTTCATGATTCTGTTGCGGGGAATTATACTATCAGAAATTGTACTCTGCCTTATGAAAGCTGGCGTTGATTTCGCAAACGATTGTTCCCAAATGTGTGGTGTATCCTTTCCTTACTTCTCTATTACGAACAATTTCGTATTACCGGCCCCATGACTTTAAAGTTATCATAGTATCAATGTTAGCAAACGTAATCATAAAATGTATAAATTTTATTATTATATACCAATATGCAATAGTCAAAGTCGCATTTTTCTAGTGTTTTATTGGTCGAGAGCATATCACGTGAGAGTGACGAAATTAGGCTGTTTCGAAACCTCTCAACAGCGCGAGAGGGAAATAGTACGTTATCGACCGGCGAATAACAAAATCACGTGCGCCATCACGTGAAGATGCGACCTTTGGACATGCCGAACAATTTAAAACAATATAACAATTACAATATAACAATTTAAACTTTCGCTTTAAGTAACTGCGGTGTTTAATTTAACGTTTTAACAATAAAATATTTCATGTATTTACGTTCATTTGTTCTTTAATTTGTTGTTCCTTTGACTAGTGATATATAATAAAACACTTATTTACTGAGACCTCGGGAAAGCAGTGTGTTTTGTGGACCCGAGACCGACGATGTTTCCCGAGGCGAAGTTATAAGTGATAATTGTAACATGCCCTGCAACCCATATCAATACCAGCGTCTAGTTCAGGCTGGCTGGGGCAAACCTGCTTCAATAAATCTTTTATCTAACTAGACGCAGTATTTTTAAATCTCTTGTTTTTGAGTAGTTATATTATCAAGCAAATTTCTTCTTCGTAACTTGGAAGATATAGCTTCCCACATCTCTTCTAATGAGTTGATCGTTTTAAATACGAGATGATGAGACTTGAGACGACAATATTGATGTAGTTTAAGGCTTTAACTATTCATTTTTCCCTAAAAAATCAGCCTTTCACATGTTTAATTAATGCCTTTACCTAATTTGCATATTGCTGCATGACAAATGCAAATTAGGCAAAATAATTAAGCATGCAAAAGCTAATTTTTTAAGTGAAAAAATGTAAGTTTGCGTGAATAGTTGAAGGGCTTAATTAAACTGAAGCAAATTGTCTGAAACTTCGTGCAGCAATTAAACACCCAACACATTTTTCACCCATTAACTCAAAATATGATTAAACTTAAAGCTTTTAAATCTCGTGCGCAAGCCATTTTTAGTCTGCTTCAGTACCTGTACAAATTAATTTAAATAACATTCCCTTTGCACGTACCGTAAAATGCGATGTAGTTGCAAGAGGACTTATAGTCTTATATATAAAACATTTTTAAACATGTAGGTTGCGTTGATTGGTTGTGGTCCTGCATCATTGAGCTGTGCTACATTCTTAGCAAGATTGGGTTACAGTGATTTAACTATATACGAGAAAGAGGACTATCTAGGAGGTCTCAGGTATTCAATCTTAATGAATATATTTAAAGTTTTGGCTCATGTGCGTTGAGAACGAAAGATATTTATTAATATGATAAGCTGCCATGGTTGGTATGTCAACTACCTGAGAAAGTTGGAAAACACTTCCACATTTCATTCAAAAGTCCTGCATCGCGAATGGTTCAGACACAAAAACATAGAGCCGGCAGCTTACTGTACAGCAGCTTATTGTATCCCTTCCATGTAATCTGACAAAATATTTTTTGTGGATGGAAATTTCGAGTTTAATTTTCATTAATTTATTTATTTATTTATTTATTTAGAAAAATACAAGCATATATAGGTCCTCTGGCAGCAGTTGAACCTGCGAGGCCCTGCGATTTCGGTGCCGCGCTCTAAAACTGAGCTATATACATGCAGAAACCAACTGAGCTACAGAGGCCAGTTGTTGGGCTCTAACCGCGTGTTGATGTATAATGAAATTTCGAATTCTATCTACAAAGCTCTTAAACATCAGTTCAATCGAGTGAGATGCCCAAAATAATCCTGACTTTTACACACAAATCTGACAAAAGAATACCGGTTCAGGTTTGAATAGAAAAATAGAAGTAACGCTCATGCATCATAACACTCGATACTCGATAGTTAAGCTATTGAAAGACGAGTTAGCTGGTGCCTCATAATGTGATCGATCGGCCAACTTACTATACCATAAGGCCACCGTGTAATTTCTCTTCAGCTAGAAATATACAATGTTATAAAACTTGACTTAACTATTCGTATGTTCTTTTTAGGCTGCCGATAATTTTCCCAAGTATGCTCACTACCCAGCCTCGTACCCAGGCGCAAATAACGTACTAAAAATAGCAACACTACAGTGTTTTTATATAGATCAGTGGCTAAGATGTGCGGGGGTGCTTGGGGAGGACGCCCCATCGTGTCCTGACCTAGCACCCCCGTGCGCTCGCTCTTCTTAGCCACTGATCTATATAAAAACACTGTAGTGTTGCAATTTTTAGTACGTTATTTGCGCCTGGGTACGAGGCTGCTCACTACCGCTAACATTTTACTAGCTTAAAATAACGTTTAAAATATTTTGGTTAATTTCTAGTTCGTCGGAGATTCCGCAGTTCAGATTGCCTTTTGATGCTGTTTCGTTTGAAATCGAGTTGGTGAAAGATTTGGGTGTTAAGGTACACTTTGTCAAGAATTTTTAAATTCCTCCCTTGCATGGCCGGGAATGCATCATGTTGCCAATTTCCTGTTCAAATCGTTATTTTCCTTGAATTTGGCAAGGCCGTTATCAAGCGAATATAAAATAACGAATCTTATATACAAGCATCCACTGCCATCAAATGCCTCGTACCCAGGCGCTTTGGTTTGTCACGTCATCAAGCACACGAGGGATCAAATTAGTCCACGCAAAGGCCACGCATACCATAGCAGCAACACATAGCGCCTGCTTAAATATTAAGTTTGAAGATGAAACTTTTTTATGCGAAGTTTGTTTCCATTGTGAAGATATATGATTGTGATGTTGTCAAGTCTCTGAGTGTGTCCACACCAGACAAGCTGTCTTGTTCCTTCGATATCAGTGTTTTTACGATCTTGAATTTTTCTGTTTCTGGTGTATTAAAAAACGCACTGATTTCGAAGGAATTAGATTGTGTTCCGAAATATCACCCACTCGAACCGAGTTAACCTCGTACTATAGCTCAGTTGGTAGAGCATTAATTGGATTAGCAAACCAAAGGTGGCAGGTTCGATTCCCACCGCGGTCAAGTAAACTTTTTAGCTTGCCCGGTATAGACACACTCAGAGACAATATCACGAACTTAAATTATTGATAAGTTTAGGAATGGTATACTCGCCTTGCATGCAGCCTCCTCTTATACCTGTTCTCTTTTAATTTACTTTAAGATTGAATCAGGAAAAGGTCTTGGGAAGAATGGAATGAGTATTGAGTCACTAAGGAACGGCGGGAATAAAGCAATCTTTATTGGAATTGGTTAGTAAGAAAACTAGCGACATGCAATATGTGTAATGATATATTATTTATATTACGTGAGCGTTGATTGGTCGAGAAGTGTATTTATATAACAGCATGGGAGCATGGGTAATTTGCCGTCTCGCTGCTTTAACTTTAGAACGTAAATAAAACAATTTTAACCATCGCGCTGTAGTGCAATAATACTAGTTTTAACAACGAAATTAAGGAACCACAAGACAAAGAGGGAATCTTCAGTTTAAATAAAGGAGAACTTGACTATTTTATGGTCATATTGACGAGCAAGTACCAGTAATGAGAATTTTAAATTCATCTATATAAAAAACTTTTCTTGAGTCATATTATAAAAGAAATAGAAAACATTTTCCCCGTTTCTATTTTCAGTTATAGAAACACTAGTGGTAGTTTGGAAGAACTCGAAATAACGTGGAAAACTCGCCCTTATCTTCTTTGGGTTCATTTTCCCCATAGAAATAATAGATAATATACCTGTAAGCACGGAAAATGTAACTATGTTTGATGACGAGAAGTACATGTCAAGTTCATTTACCAGCTATTAATCCTTATATTAAATGCGTTTAAAACAATTTAGGCCTTCCTCAGCCAAAGAAAATCTCCATATTTAAAGACTTAGAGATCAAACATGGCTTTTACACTTCGAAAGACTACTTACCCGTGGTATCTAAAGCCAGCAAAGCAGGTAACTAGTTGTTAATCTGTTTTGTAATGAGATGTCGAGTTTATGGTATACAAACTTTGCTCTAGTCCGCAAGGAGTTTAGTTGAAGCGGTATTTTGTAACAGTTTAACTTTTCAAATCAGTTTGACCACGAGTTCGTCATTGAAGTTTTAATTTGCGAGAACCAGGTCTGATGAAATTTTTCGGACGCCAATTTCATTAAATTGCCGAATTTCTTTTCTTCTGGCTAACACCTTGTTGTTGCAGCTAAGTACTACTTTCGCATAAAACGCATTTGAGAAAGGGCTTTTAGTTTGACTCTACCAATCTTCGCAGGTCTTAATTGGGTACTCCTTTTTCCTTGTCTATAGTTACGCTAGATCAATAATTGGTGGTGCTAGGTGGCTATTACTCCAGGGAGAGCAGCTGAGAACTGTAACAGAACAGAACTGTAAGAGCAGTCCAGTTTTATTAAAGTCAGTTTAGTTCAGTGAAAACAAATTTTGCACCAACGTTCCTTAACTTCGATCTATTTTTTCTTGCTCAAGGTATGTGTGGTTGCAAGGCGAAGTTACCACAGTTGTCTGGAAATGTTATTGTACTCGGTGCAGGTGACACTGCATTTGATTGCTGTACTTCTGCATTAAGATGTGGCGCTAAGCGCGTGTTTGTCGTCTTCCGTAAGGGATTTACCAACATCAGAGCTGTTCCAGAAGAGGTGAGCTTGTCAAATCGTTGATATGTCGCATTTAATATACATTATATAGACCGATTCGAAAAATAGTTGTATAAAGTTATTCTTCTTTCATCCGAAATTAATTTCAACCAGAGCTGTCGCCTTATAGAATACTTCAAGACTAGCAATATTACAAAGTATAAATATAATACCATGTACCTCTATGAGAGGTACAGATTTTGTTTGAGATGCTACAATCAGTGACATTGAAAGGTGGGGCACAAGGTTATTTTTTGTTGACAATTGCAAGAATAACATGTAAAACCACAGCTCCCCCATTTCAATGTTGCTGTGTATGCTGGGAGAGTTATCCGCAACACAACACAACACAACACAAATAGAATGTTAATTTTAGTCTAACAACATTAATGAGCGGGGATTATGTTACTATCTCAGCCTTGGCTGTCACGTATTTGTCACTGATTGTAGATTTAGCAACAAGCCTGACTAGCATCGTTTTAGTGCATTTGCACATTTCAAAGGGCTGTAATTTCGCTGGCATGGATTGTTTTTAATCTTAAACCTTTACATTTTGCCTTAAATAACAGTCTCTGTTGAAAAATTGTTTATTGGCCTGTGTAATGCATAACATATAAAATAATGCAAAATTATGGTACATGTAGCTAGTTTTTGGATCGGTCAATTGGATGTTGAAATCCTGAGAATATAGCTTACAGTTCGTTGTTTTTGTTATAGATGGAAGTTGCAAGAGAAGAAAAATGTGAGTTTTTGCCTTTTAAGTCACCTGTGAAGGTAAGCAGGCACTATTTATTGGAAAATGTAGTGGCGACCACTATAGGCGTCAATGTTATGCTTGTTGACTGCTATATATGCTTGGGAAATACGTAAAATCCATGGTCAGTAATGGCCTGCATGCTTTTAACCACCAATTGAAGTCAACATTCTGGTTAGAGCTTAAAACAATTCTTTCAGTAAAATAACTCTTTCTTTAAACAATCCATTTATTTCGGGGTTACAAACACCGGCATGTTACAAACCATTCATTTTGGATTTATAAACACTGACATATATGTTACTATATACAGTGATAAACGTTTTCTAATTTCGTGGAAATTCAAGCGGTATCTAACAATTAATCACGATGAGTCACACTGCATGTGATACTGCATGATATAGAGTCCATAAACTAAGGCCCTCGTTACGTTTTTGGTCATGGAATAAAACATGCTGAGGACCCGGACAAAAACTCTCGAAGCCCAGGAGAGAGGCAACCAGATTTTACTTAGTTATTTAATTATTCAAGAACATATGTAATTTTGCAGCTGTTCCTGGTCATAGTCATAGATATAACGGTGTTAGCTCAATAGAGGTTTGCGTTCGAAAATTCTATCTACAGAAAACATATCTGGTGTTAGTTTTTTCGAACGACATGGCCCAACATCTTGATAAGTTACCACTTACCTATCCTTAGTAAATCCCCCAGCCTTGACCTGCAGTAGCAAGCTTAAACTAGGCCCTAAGGGGCACGTACTCACCCGTGCGTACCTTCTATCGTATGCGATAAAGTAGTTTAAACTGAATGAAAGTTTCATACCGCGTCCTTGCATTATTCCTCCACAAACACTGCAGCATTCCAGGTCAAATTTACCTTGCCTAATAGACAAATTGCATGTTAGATTAATTTTTGATCTAGGTGAAAATGGTAACAATTTCCGCACGCAATACAAACATACAAAATTTGCAAGACTATATATTTTCCAAGCTTTACAACATTTCGCAACCAAATTTTACTAATTTCATTATGTTATTTTTAGCTGTGGTGTTTGATTCCCTTCTCTTTACTTAGATTAAAATTTAGTCTAACATACAAGTTGTCCATTTTGCCCCAAATATTTAGCCTAATAATCTTTGGTCGTTGCTAAAGTGGATGGATGAGAGGGAGGTTTTCAAGATGGCGGCTATTTTTCCAGATCGTTAAAACGCCAACGAATTAACAACTATGCACTTATAACAATCCTAAAAAAAACTTACCCTAAACCCTAACATTATTACCGAAACCCAGAATCCTTTCTCTCGCCTGAAAAACATGTCTTGTTTTCGTGTGAAATCATTCAGGAATGTGACCACACTCCTAGACCTAGTACTGATAAAATGTCAATATATTAATAGCTAATTTTAGAACAATTTCTCACAGACCAATCAGATGTCGCCATTTTCAAATTTCGATTTCACGACATTAGGAATTTAGTCGTATTCCTGAATGTTTTGACACGAAAACATGACACTTTTTGTGAGCGAGGGGATGTATCCGCGGTTTTTGGTAATAAACTAAAATCCCCTCGTCAATCCCTTTTAACCATTACCAATAATCTCTTGGGTAAGATCATCATTTGCCAATCTCGTTCCCCAAGCCTGCGATCCTCGGGAAGGAACGTGAGGCTCTGGGATAATCCGTTTCAGGGAGGAATCTGATTGGCCGTTGATATGGAATGCGCAGTTCGGTCTTAGCCAGGATTCCTGGCTTCCGGCAACGGATTATCCCAGAGCCTCACGTTCCTTCCCGAGGATCGCAGACTCGGGGAACGAGATTGATCATTTGCCCAAGTACGTTTTCATTTTCCATTATATTTTGTCTCGTTAAGGTTTATCTCAAAGACGGCCGCATAAGTGCTATGGAGTTTTGTCATACCGAGCAGGTGAGTATCCCGCACAGCCATTGCGTGTAAATAGCTAATTCGAGTGATCATGTTATAATGCCATTAACATTGCATTTTTCTTACATGTAGTTGGATGATGGCACTTGGATTGAAGACAAAGAACAGACGTTGAAGATAAAAGCTAATTATATTATTTCTGCGTTTGGTTCAACACTGTCCGATAACGAGGGTAAGTAATTCATACTAGAATCTAAGAACGGATGACTTCTCTGACCGCTTGGGTCTATTTCGGCTATGTGTATAATCAGGGCCGCCCAGGGGGGTGGGGCAAAAGGGGCAATTTGTGCCGAGTCCCCAGATAAAGGAGGCTTCCAAATAAGGATAGAATAGATTATGCATAGAACCCGCAGTTAAATATTCTTCCAGAATGCAGGAATTCCTATTTTAGGGATTCTAGATTTCCTGGGGAGAACGCCACAGAATACGCATTGAAAATGTTATATAAACCTTCAGAACCGAAGGAAATAATCTTGCTAATTGTCCTAAAAGTTCAAGAATATGCATGAAATCAATCTCTAAAAGAGCACATAACTTCAAGAATCATTGACGATAGAAAATCACTATAGGGCCACAAATATTAAATTGCCCCGGGCCCCTAAATTTCTGTGTCGCGACTTGTAGTATATGTGAGTTTCGTGAGCTCCATTTCCGCTACTTGAAGAGGTCGTTTCCGGTACAATAAGTGAAGCAATAAATTAGCATAAAAAGGTGAATTGTCATAAAATAGGAAGACAGTCAATACCAAACCTAACAGACAATCAGAAAGCAAGTTTTTTATGCATACTGGGCCAGAAAAAGATCATACCACTACTAGTCTCACCTCTGCCATTTTCAATAATATTATTATTTTATTATTATTTAAAAATATTTATACACGGTAGCCTATTCAACTAAAATTAACAGTTGTTTTCAAAGGGCCGTGTGTTAAAAATATACTAACATGCAATACATTTAATTATAATTATTTAAATCTATTTATAACAATTACAATAACAAACAAACCATACTTATATGCATCTAATTACTACTAAAATATATATACTAAATAACAGATTACAATAAGAAATTATATAGCCCTTTATTTCAATATTATTCTCTCTTCGTGTGGTAGGGCGTTCCAGATCACGGAAGCTTTATGACTGAAACTTTTTTCATAGCATTAGTATTATAGGTTTAGCCCTTTGGTAATGAAAGCATACAATTGTTACTTCTTAGGTTGTAACTAGCAATCTCGATTTGATATAGAAAATAAGTCTTACCAAGATTCTCACTTAATTTATTGTTTTTGATGCAGTACAAGTGATTAGCATTCGGAAAACGGATATTTACAAGCAGATTGAAATACCTTGTAATTGAAAATGTACATTATCTTTTGTTAGTTGTTGATGCGATGAAACCGCTGAAGTTCAATTCATGGGGCTCACCTGAGGTGAATGATGAAACCATGGAAACAAGTGAAGTTGATGTGTTTTGTGGAGGGGATATAGCTGGTGTTGCTAATACTACAGTGGAATGTGTAAATGATGGCAAGACAGCTGCATGGTACATGCATAAATATCTTCAGGTACATATTACAATGTGTGCTCGAAATGTCTTGAATGTGTATCATATTGACATATACATATTTATTTTTTTCCGATCCGTAACCCTATGTCCGTAACTTCTGATTGGCTGACGAGAGGTCCGTGTATACGATAAGGACCTTTCGCGCCAAAACGAACAGAGGTGTGAAGAAACTTTTCAACCACAAAAAAACTACCCAAAACGTGGAAAAAGCCCACCCTAGCGATACAAAAGATAGGTACATAAACTAAATTAACTCCAATGGAGTTCGTGTCAAGTCTGAAATGTACTTTACTCAGACCAAAATGCGAAAAGATAACCAAGTATATAATTATTTTGACTTATAGTATATATTCGGAAAAATCTCCCTTCAAATATAAATATTAGAACATACAATTCACCCTCAACATAAAATGGTCCCTTGGAGGGATGCTTCTGAGGCGGAGGGAAAATATTTTACAGTACGAACCTCCCAGCCGTTAAATAACATATATTTATTATAGCAGAATCCATCGGACATTTTCCGAGTAAAACGGTAAATATGGCCGTCCATTGATTGTTCTGCTGGGACATAAACCACATTTGAATCATTTCTCTCTTATTCTTGCAAGTACCAAAGCACAATCTCTAACTATAATCTGTGAAAGAAAGTTAATATTACTTACCTGGAGTATGCTTTATTGCTGCCTCGTAGAGGCAGCACATTATTCTTGACTACGCGGTGTTTCTCCAGAGTCCACTCGACCCAGTCTTTCGCGCGATCTATGTATTGTCGAGATCTCGATCTTGTGTCTGTCTGTCTGTATGTAAAGATGTCGTAATCCGGGGGGAATAATTAAGCCTCGAGAACGTTTGTTAAATGAGGGGAGCGGTCAGAAACAAGATTTTGTATTGCGCACGCAACTCCATGTGCTCAAGAATCAAGATTTTACAATTGGTTTCACACAGGCTTTTTATACGGATGCAAGTTATCGAAAATTTTCGGAAAAATTCAGGTAAGTATGGCTCTATTTCTTTCTTCTGAAATACATCAAGGCGATGACCTTTTTAGTGTTCAATCTAGAGGCAAACAATGTGCTTTTATGGGTTTATCTGCAATTTTAACTGCCCAAAGTATCCCAGTGATCGATTGGTCGAAAACAACATTGAATAATGTCTTATTACAAGGAGACAAAATGTATTTGCAAGCTGTGGATAATGGCTTTGTTGTCTTAGAACTTGGTGTCGAATTCCTATCTGTAGATAACTTACCTAAAATTGTCAGTGTTTCAAGTTGTACGAACATGTTTTCTTACGAGATATGCGATTCTGTCATCGACACAAGTAATATATCATCTGTAGTGCATGCGAAAACAACTACAACACCTATGAATCCCTTTGATACACAAATTAACGTTGA